TCTCAGACGTAAGCCTTCCCATTCTCATTTTCTGAACAGTAATAACAATGCAATATTAAATTCTCACTTTCATATTTTCTCAGGCTTTCGCTCTCACTCTCAGTCTCCGGCTTTCAATTTCAGGTTTCAGTCTTGTTCTCACTCTCAGAGTCGTTTATTTCTGTATATATTCTCACTTGGAACGTTGGTTAAACTTTTATCTAGTAAAGTTTCCATTTTTGTAACAATCTCCATGTTTCCTTCTATGTATTGTGAAGTGATTATTTTCATTTAGTTCTCTTCAATTATGGTTACTATTTTTGAAATCAATTCATCATTTGCATTCGATTCGAGATGATGTTTAGTAATTGCTAAGAAATTGAATTTATGAGAGAATATATTCCTTGTATCGTCTTTTACCAGCGCTCTATGGTTGCACACATGGTATTTGATGAAATGTCAATTTGGTAGAAACCTTTTATTTGCAAGACAGAAGCTGAATTTTTATTAAGTGTTTGCATCTGTAGTTATCTGCACGATTTGGAAAGATGCTCCAACTAGTAGCTTTAGTTTCATTTCACCACAAGTTTAGAAGATACCACCGTAAATCCAAACGACCACTTAGTGCCAGTGTGCAATGGATTCAAAGGAACTTTGTTTACTATTAATTTGTTCCTTCCATTGTCTTATTTTCAAATTACCATTTGCAATTTGATTTGAATCTGTTTTTAGATTGTTATTATACTTACTCAATGTCAACTGTCGTTTTGGATTTGGTAATAGCCGGTGTTAAATAACTGGCATATGGCTTCTATACCGCGCTATACCTACATAGTGGGATTTTGAGTAACTGTGACGAAATCTGATACGCTGTTACGATTTCGCTACCATTGCAATAGTGGTGGCCTTTTCCATATTGGTGATTGCGGTTACTGCTTACATAGCGGAAGTTATTGTTTTTTCCCTAATGATAACATTAAAAATATCGTGTAAGCTGCACATCACATATTTTTAAAAACATTAAAAGTAAAATATTGCTGAGTTGGTGAGATGAGGTCTTATATATCCCCTAAACCCTACAACATGTGTAATGTAAAAACCTGCTCATAAAAAAAGTAAAGTGAAAATCTCTCATCGCTAAACTGCCTCTGCCTCCATCTTCTCTCCTCCTCACTTCATACTTCATCTTCTCCAAGCTTTTGAAAGTTCCTCCCTCCTCAAGTGAGTTCGTCAAAATTCTTTCTTCTTCTTCTTTTGCTCTGTTTTTTTTCCTTTCTTCCTTTAATTTATTTCTTCCCCTTCCCCTGTAATCACATGTTGTGGTGAAGTACGTAGCTTTATCCGTAGAGTGAAGACTTAGTTTTTTATCAATGAAAAATAAAAAAACCCTCTCAATTTTCATTTTCTCAAGTTTTTTAATTTTTGTTTTACTTTTTTGTATTTTTTTCGATTGCACTGGTTGAATTTTAAAAATTAAAATTGCTGAAAATGCTACATTAGATAGTGATATAACTTGATCACTAGTTACAGGTGAGGGGTAACCCTCTCCTTACAAATTGGTTTTGTAGGATTGAGTTAGATTCAAACCAAATTCTAAAATAGTATCAAAATCTATCTTGGATAAGTTGGGCCACCTTGTTACCGCGCCACTACCAAGATCACACTCCAAATGTAATCCTAGACATGAGGTGTTTTTAGAATCTCACGTTGGAGAGTGATTTGGTCTAAATAGTAGTTATATTTGGTTGCCAACCCTCCCCTTTCAAATTGGTTTTGTAAGATTGAGTTTGCCCAAAATTAATTTCTAATAAAGATTTATTTATAGTTATTGACTTCTTGTTAATAGATCATCATATGTGTGTTTGTTGGGAGTTCATATGTTTTTGGATAAATTATTTTTGAGATTATAAATTACCACCTCGGTCTCGAAATATAAGACACTTCCGAGAAAATTGTCTTTTTTTAAGACTATTTTTATTTTCAACTGTATTAATTATTTTTCTACCATATGCAATTAACAATAAATACTATGAGGGGAACATAAACTATTTTTCTCTCTTGAAAGATAAATTTGTTTAATATCAATTACCAATAGATTTAATACTGCCATCCACTTTTATAATTCCCATGATTTAGTCAAGGGGTCTTATATTTAGGGATGGAGGCAATATATACTTTAGTGTGATACACCGTTAAACATGTTATTACTTATAGATGTTTTTCATCGTATAATATTTAAACAATTGAACTAATTTTTTATTCTGATTTAATTAATACTTTTTTGGTAACCTTGAGATCATAGTTATTAAATCTAGACGGAATCTGATTGGCATGTTCGACGCGGTAGATTAGTGACTTGGTCAAATAATCACTGCAGCCAACATGTTTAGAGGTGTCAATATCAACTATAGCTCATGGCCCATCACATTTTCCCCCTAGTATAACTCCCCTAATCTGGCCCCTTGAATATTACCCTAACTCACAAATGAAAGAAATTATATGGGTTAGGGATGGGGCCGGGCCGATCAATGGTGGGCCATCCCTGTAGTACAAATACTGCTATGTGTGTGTGTGTATATATATATATGTTTGCCTAGGGTTTACTCTTTGGCTGTTGCTGAACTCATTTTTTGTCGCAGTGGTAAGGTTTCTTCGATTCCTCGATTTCTTCCCCCTTTCTTTGGGTATTATTGTATGCTTGCTGAATCTGTTTTTGTTGCAGTGGTAAGGTTTTTCTATTTTTATGGTATTTTTCATTTTTGGTTGTTTATATTTGAATATGAATGCAATTTTTTATGCACACACTTCCTTGATTGGTGTCTATCATTTCATATGCTGCATCTATTTCTTCCCATACTACCCCCAATTTCATATGCTTTGTCGTATTTTCTGAGTTGCTACTAGAATTAATTATTTAACGATCATCAGTGTTGCGAACATACATCGTAAAGCTGAAGACATGAGCAATAACTCCATTCTATTTGTTGCTTTGACTACTTTATGTACTTAACAATATATTTCTTGATTGAAATTTTTGATGGGGGCAATACTAATGCCGTGATTGTTTAGGTAATTACTTCCTGCAGAAATTTAATGGATCATAAGATCTCATTTATTTGCTTTTGTATTGTCAATTTAAATAGTTTACTTGTTATTATCATGTTCTCTTGGCTGGTTTCACGTGGGTTCTGATTTCACCCTAGATCTTGATGTGTTTTTTCGAGTTCACCATAGTTCATATGGTATATTTGGTTCCAAAACTCACCATCACACAACTCATATTTTAACACTCTCTAAGAAGGTAAACTTTTATGTTGTGTTTTTGCATTCTTCTTTTTGTCTAAATGTGTATCGGTAGTGACTTCACTGTGATTTTTCTTTTCCTTTTCAATTGCCTTAGTTTGAGCTATGTTTGAATAAGATCCATGATGTAATTTGTTCTTGTGTGTTGTGTGAATGTTGATATGATTACTACTCACTAATTCACTCCAGTTTTTAGTAGTACACATTGTGATGGGGAAAAAGGAGCTTGCATTTTTTTTCTGATAAAACCAACTCAGGGTTGATTTGTTTTTAGTAACAGGGTTCATCTTGTTTTTGGTTCTTGTATGTTTGATTGTCTGGCTAATGTGTGCCATATATACATGATATAACTGATATTGTTTGAGTTTCCTGACAACTATGTTCCTTGGGTTTGTATCTCTCGATGATTGTATTGATGATATGCAATCATACAACAAAATAGTTGCTTTTATGAAGGCATTGCCAGACCAGCGATACATTATTATAGCTTTCTGCTGATTTACTGATATGAATCTTGTTGGCAATGTCTGATTTATATAATACTTTTGATAAGACCATAGACAAGTGAAAGGGATATCACTAATATCTAAATTTGGGGCATGATATCATCAACATACTTAATGTTCTGTCTCTTTATTCTTTCAATTTTCCCAGTTCGAGACAGAAAACATTGAGTTTAACTTCCGATGTAGAGATTGAAGTTTGTTGGTCATATAGGCTTCATATTCAATTCAGCTGGTAGCTTTTTATTTGGCTGCCAACTCCCAGTGTTTTTGTGATTTGAATTCTTGAGAATGGAAATGCTCACATCTTGTATCTTTATTAATTCTTAACTGATTCTCATTGCAGATTGCTTACTTTACCACATTATTCTTAAGTCCAGTACTTAATGCTCCTAAATCAAAACAAATATGAAAAAGTTCAAGAGCTGCCTCTTGTCCATGTTCTGTGTGCAGTTTCTGCATATATTTGTTATGCATAATTATATTCACTGATAAGAAGTGAAAAATAAGACAAAAAGTATGGGTTCATTATTTTATGTCATGTCAAGGAAACATGTTACCATGTAATTTATTTATTTTTACTGAAGTTTATATGAAATTAGTAAATTTATTAAAATAAGTGAGCTAGGCAGTCCCTGGAGTGGGCCAAGCACGTCAATTTAATAGTGGGTAATTTCCCCCCCTCTAATTTAGGGTGCTTTGTGGCCCTCTGGCATTTTCTTCAATTGAGCTTTTTTGGCTTTGATCAATGTGAGCCAAGGTTGAGAGGAGTGAGTCGGGGTAAATTGACAACTAAACTGCGACAATATTTTTAAGAATCAATGCAACTTCTAAAAAGAGAGGTTGGAACTTGGCGCCATTGAACTCTTTTCGGACATAATTGTATTGTGTATGATATACTTATAATCGTGATATTGTATAATAAATCTTAGTTACTTAATTATACTTTTGGACTTAGAATTTGCATTATCCACTTATTTTTGAGTTTATCAAAATATGTAAAGTACTGGTATTGAAGTTTTTAAAAACTTCATGAACTTTTACAACCATCCATTTCAAGTGGTTTCCTGATTTGATCAATAATCCAATGATTTGATAATCTTACCTGTTGATTTTTATTGCACTACTTGTTTATAGGTGGGTGGGGAAACAACAACAGTTCTTCCGAAGGAACAAGAGAGAAGTTGCTATTTCAAAACAAGTTGGTAGTAAGAAATGGGGAAGTTGTTTGGTTTGGGATCTGAACCAGTGTCTGGTATCTTGATTCCTTCAAAGAAGAGAGAGTATAGAGTCACCAATCGCCTCCAAGAGGGCAAGCGTCCTCTATATGCTGTCGTTTTCAACTTCATCGACTCCCGCTACTTCAACGTTTTCGCCACTGTTGGTGGCAATCGGGTTCTCTTCCTTGTTCTATTATTTTTCGTTCAATTCTCACAACCTTTTTATCCTTTCACTTGAAAGTTTCAATCTTTAACCCTTTATCCTCTTCTTTCATTAGGTTACTATTTATCATTGCCTTGAAGGAGGAGTTATTGCTGTACTGCAGTCTTATGTAGATGAAGATGTATGGCAACACTCTACTCTCTTCTGTGTCTACCATTTTTTTTGTCTCAACCACCACTATGAGGGTGTAGTTGATATTATTATAATCATAAGAAACTTCGTCAATTTTAACCCATTCCTTCTGTAGACCAGAAGGATGAATCTTTTTACACAGTGAGCTGGGCTTGCAATCCTAATGGTTCTCCATATGTTGTGGCTGGAGGAATCAATGGTATAATTCGGGTCATTGATGCTGGCAATGAGAAGATACACAAGGTACTTTGGTAGTAACTATAATGATAGTTATTTAGTATCTGTAACTTGTTAGATTTGAGTTTTGTGGTAATTATTGCTATCTAAATGTCTTAAATTTATTTTTGTTAATTCAATAACATTGAAAAGTATTCTTAATGTGATAGAACTCAGAAAATTAGGTAAATGGATTGTTTATTATTGAACTGGAGATTGATGAGCTCAATGTTCTACGTGGGTGAAAACAGAAAAACAGAATATAAACCAGAGGTCTATGAACTTGTAAACCAGAGCTAGGTTCCTAAACCAGTGAGAAATCTCTCCTAACTGGCTCTAACAGACTTTTTGAATCCCTCTCAAAGCTTTATTTGGTGGTTAGTGACCATTCCTTCTTCTCCGCGAGTGAACCCATGGACAAAAGAATGCCACAACCCATAACCAATTGAAATGGACTGATAGATAATTAGAGTCTTGTCCAATTCTCCCTTGAATTGCTTTGCAATTTCCTTGTGTAAGCATTGTTTTTGTCATCAGTTTCAATTTGAACTTTCTGCTCGCTCCAACAGATACACAACATCAGTCAGCACCAGTACATATTCGAGGGAACCGAAAGACAATTCCTTCTTCTACTCGAGGGAACCGAAGGACAAAAGAATGCCACCACCCATAACCAATTGAAATGGACTGATAGGTGATTAGAGTCTTGTCCAATTCACCCTTGAACCGCTTTGCAATGTCGTTGTGTAAGCATTGTTTTTGTCATTAGTTTCGGTTTGAAGTTTCTGCTAGCTCCAACAAATACACAACATCAGTCAGCACCCGTACATATTCCCTAAGGATAGGATTTCCTTGTAACAATGAGTAAAACAGTAAGACAGTAGCGTCATCAACTAAGCACATGCCAAGTGCATCACATAAAGTAAGTAGTAAATTAATGTGTTGAACACTATGTGCATTCCCTTCCTTAGCTATACGATTCAATTAACAATCAAATGCGTACGTGTAGGCCTTGCATAAAGTGTCTTATAAAGGGAAGAGTTTTCTTTTGGGTAAACAATATGAAATAGAAGTCCTCCACGTGACAATCCATTCAAAACACTTGCCCAACAATACGCAAGTTATGAGTCTAACCGTTGCATCCAAGTAAGTTGGTGAGATAATTAGATCAACAAATATCCAAGTTAAGAAACCTTGTAGGAAGTATCCTCCATTCTGATTTGGCCTAGTTTTGGATTATACACAGTAAGATTAGTAAGATTAGTCAACGAGTTAGGCAATCCGATACCCTTTTTCTTGAACCCAAGTGCAGAAATTGAATTGAGGAGCTAAGCCTGTTGCTTTATTCCAGCTCACATTTCTAAATGCCTAAAAAAAATCAGACTGATATTTCCGGTTTCACCTCTGTTTGGAACACAGTTTCCCGGCGGTTCTTCATTGCATCTGTTATGGGCAATACGCCCCCAACCACAATTGAGATTTCCCGCGGAAACATGCCCTAAATGCTTTGCCACCTCTGCCCTCAACAATTGACAAAACTCCACCACAAACGATTTGACAGATTCTTCTAATGTTCCCATTCTTGCTTCCGACGCATCCAATCATTCTTCCTCCGTCAGTGGCATGATTGATGATGTCACTAGCTCCCCTTGCATTGTAGTTAAGATCGAGTGCTGGGTCTTAAGATCTTACGGTCTTACGTGCTGAAGTTGCCTTTTAGTGCTACGATTTTAGAAAAAACTTTTTTCGTGCATTTTGTGGTTAAGATCGAGTGCTGGGTCTTACGATCTTACGTGCTGAAGTTGCCTTTTATATGACTATCATGATATGGGAATACATAATATCTTAGATGATTGGACTTGTTTGTTAGATTTATGTTTTTGAACTACTTTTTTGAACAAAGTCTTTTGAACTTGTTAAATTATGGAGTGATAGTTATGGGTTATTAATTTAATCGGTTGAATTTAGTGATGTATAGGTTATTTTGTTCATGTATTATAATTTTCATGTTGTGTGTGTATATGTATGTCAAATTACCATTTTTCCCTTCAGTAAGATCTTAAGTGCCGTGTTACGATCCTAGTTTTACGACCTTTCACAAGCCGTCCGATCTACTTAAGATCCCGTGCTTGACTACCTTGGCCCCTTGAATATCCAGAAGGTCGTTCCATTGATAGAACTCAGAAAATTAAGTAAACAGTTTGTTTATTATTGAACTGGAATTTAGTGAGCTCAATGCTCGACAATGGTGAAAACAGAAAAAGAGAATGTAAACCAAAGTTAGAAACTCCTAAACTGGAGAAATCTCTCGTAACCGACTCTAACAAACTTTTTTAATGCCTTTCAACTTCTCTCCCACTCTCTCTTATAACTGAAATTTCCTAACATTCAGGAAATATTCTAACGAGTTCTTATTGGACAAAGGCCCAGATCCAAGGTCCTAGCATAATATATCATGCTATAGCAGTGCTATAGGGGAATAGTGTAGCGGTTGTAGGGTTCAGGGCACCGCTTTTGGTCCATGACTCATGAGCCGCTGTCAACGATAGCATTTGTAGCGGCCGTTGATTGCGTCCCCAAACCGCTGTCGCAGCAGCTATTGCTGTCACGAAATTTGGCTTGATGCCTTTCTCATTGCCTTTCATACTATATATAATAGTGTCCGTAATTACAACTCATAATAACTAATTATAGCTGATAATAGCTAATTACAATTCATAATGACTAATTTCCTATTCTATGAATGTAAATTATTCACAATAACTGCAAAGATTATTTCCTAATTAACATCCCCCCTCAAATTGATGCGGCTGGTCAAGGAGCATCAATTTGCTAACAAGAAACTGATGTCTTGGGCGTGGAACAGCCTTGGTAAGAATATCTGCAACCTGCAACTGCGTACTGACGTGAGGAAGTGATATTATTCGATCATCGTAGGCGTCACGTATTGAATGACAATCAACTTCGATATGTTTGGTGCGTTCATGAAAAACAGGATTTGCAACAATTTGGATGGCACTTGTATTGTCAGCATAAAGTGAAGTTGACTCTGTTTGGGGAAATCCAAGTTCAGCCAAAAGACCACGAAGCCAAAGTATTTCTGAACACGCAGCAGACATGGCACGATACTCTGATTCAGTAGAAGATTTAGAAACTCTTGCTTGCTTCTTACTTTTCCAAGAGATCAATGAAGAACTAAGAAACATACACCAACCAGTAACAGATCGACGAGTATCAGGACACCCTGCCCAATCAACATCACTATAAGCGCTCAACTGAAGAGAAGTTCCAACGGAAAAGAATAATCCGCGGTGAGAGGTTCCTTTTAAGTAGCGAATTATACGACGAACTGCAGCCAAGTGAAGATGGCGAGGAGAATGCATGAATTGACTTACTTGTTGAACAGCAAAAGATATGTCAGGGCGAGTAATAGTCAAGTAGTTGAGGCTACCCACAAGTTGTCGATACAATAAGGGATCAGGCAACAGATCCCCATCATCACGATGATATTTAACATTAACCTCAAGAGGAGTATCTACTGGATTAGCCGATTCAAGACCGGCCATAGAAATCAAATCTGTAGCATACTTGTGTTGATGGAGAAAGATGCCCTTGGATGTAGAATGAACCTCAAGACCAAGAAAATAATGTAGATTACCCAGATCTTTCATATGAAATGAGGCCTGTAGCTGTTGCTTAAGTCGCTGAATGGAAGCATGATCCGAACCAGTAATAACCATATCATCAACATACAAAAGAAGCAGAACAATACCCGCAAATGTGCTATGAATAAATAAAGATGAATCATACTGACTCTGAGTAAAGGAGAATCCAAGTATAGTGGCGCGGAATTTCTCGTACCATGCTCGAGGTGCCTGTTTCAAACCATATAAGGAGTGTTTGAGCTTACACACGCCTTTAGATGAAGAGAATAAGCCTTGAGGTGGAGTCATATAAATATCTTCTGTCAGGTCACCATGAAGAAAAGCATTCTTCACATCCATTTGATGAAGAGTCCACCCATTAGAAGCAGCTATAGACATGATTGTGCGGACAGTTGTCATTTTGGCAACCGGTGCAAATGTCTCATCATAATCAATTCCATATTCCTGCTTGTTTCCTAACGCAACCAAACGAGCCTTGTAACGATTGAGGGACCCATCAGAATTGAGTTTCACAGAATACACCCATTTGCAACCTATAGGTTTTACATTTGGAGGACAAGTGACGATATCCCATGTGAAATTCTCTTGAAGAGCTTGGAGCTCTTCAGTCATTGCTTTTATCCATCGCACATCTTTAACAGCCTGTGAGTAACAAGTAGGAATAGATATGCTAGAGAGTGTGGCAGTCAGAGAAGTATGTGAGGAATCATACCTGTCTGGTGAATATCTATCTGGTGCGCGGGATATTCGACCAGAACGTCGTGGTTCAACCGGTACAGGATCAGGTGGCAGTTCAGCATCGGGAAGGGGTGTGGGAACCTGTTGTCTGTGTTTTCTGACATATACATGACCTGGTTTATAACGTTCTATAGCTTGAGGCATAATAGAAAAGTTAGGAAGAGTAACAATATCATTAATGGCAGGAGAACCACAGGGAAACATAAACTGATTATCAAAAAATGTCACATTTCTAGAAATGCGAAAACGATGGTTAGAGACATCATAACACACAAATCCCTTATGAGAGTTACTATATCCCATAAATGCACATTGAACGGATTGTGCTCCAAGCTTATGCCTTTCAAAAGGAGGTAAGTGAACAAAACACACACACCCAAAAGTATGTAAAGCACTATAATCAGGATGAATTTTAAATAGACGGAAGAAAGGAGAATCAAGATCAATAACTGTAGAAGGAATACGATTGATCAAGAAGACAGCCGTGGAAAGAGCCTCCACCCAAAATCGGGATGGTACAGAAGCTTGGAGAAGTAAGGTGCGTGTTACATCAAGCAAATGACGATTCTTACGTTCTGCCGTGCCATTTTGTTGAGGGGTATTGGGACAAGACCGTTGAGACAAGATGCCTTTTTGTTGAAGGTATTCCTGAAACTCATGAGACATGTACTCACCACCAGAGTCAGATCGAAAAATTTTAACACTTGCTTGAAATTGAGTTTCAACATAGGTCAAATATTTCTTAAACATAGAAAACACTTCGGATTTAGAACGGAGAAAATATATCCAAGTAAAACGACTATAATCATCAATAAATGTGACAAAATATTTATAGTGAGCATGAGAAACCACAGGAGACATTCCCCATACATCACTATGAATCATCTCAAAACAAGTGGAAGCACGATTAGCACCAGACGGAAAAGGAAGTGTCTTACTTTTAGCCAATTTGCAAACAGAACATGAAACAGAGGCATCAGGAATAACATTTTTATTTCCCAACAAGCCACTTTTACATAAATGAGACAAAACAAAAGAGTTTGGATGACCTAGTTTTCTATGCCAATCCTCATAGGAATTCAAAACATTATGACAAGCAAGAGACAAATGATTAGAAATAAACTGTATTGGAAACAATCTTCCCACTTTAGGCCCCTTCGCGATCACTTTCCCCGACACCTGCTCCTGCACAAGACAACCAGATCGAGAAAAATTAACATTACAATTATTGTCCACCAATTGACCAACAGACAATAAATTAGAAGCAAGTCCAGGTGAGACAAGCACATTCTGAAAATCCGAGTTTATGTCCCCAACGTTAGTGATAGACAAGGTATTACCATTAGCAATCTGAATTTTCTGATTACCATTATAAGAATGTAAATTGTGCAAGTTTTCAGATGAACCTGTCATGTGATTGGATGCACCAGAATCAATAAACCATGGACGAGAAACATGAGAAGACTTACCCTTAATACCCAAGGCTGAAAGGGCAGAAAGTACCATGTGTTGAATCATTTCAGGTTGTAGAGCATTGCCATCTGATGCACCAGTGGTGGAAGAGCCAATTGTATGGCCTGTAGTGGCATGAAATGCCTTCACCGAATGATGTGCTGGTCGTGGAGGACGCGTGGGACAGTTAGAAATGATATGACCTTGTTGTTTGCAATAATTACAAAACTTCTTATTGCAGTTACGAGCAATATGTCCAAACTGTTTGCAAGAAAAACATTGGACATGTTGCATATCACGACCTTTATTTCTACTTTGAGCAGCATATGCAATTGCCACAGGCTCAGAACTGACAGTATCATGAGACATGGTTCCTTGAGTAAGGAAACGTTGTTCCTCCCTGAGAAGTTCACCAACACATGTATCCAAAGAAGGAACAGGATTCCTATTTAGCAAAGCACCTCTGACAACCTCAAATTCTAGACGAAGCTTCATGAGGAATTGATCTCGCCTACTTGTGTTGTAGACCTCTTGAACAGCCGCAAGAGAGGTCTTGGGAACATTAGCATGTATAATAGCAGAGTGTTCTGCCCAAAGATTTAAAAAACCAGAATAGTATTCTTGAATAGACAAATCACCTTGTTTGTAGTTGGCGATGTCTAACTCCAACTGAAAACGTTTTGCCGAATTGTCCTGGTTGTAAATGCGCTTCAGATAATTCCACATTTCTTGAGCAGTTGAAAAAGAACGCAAATTATTTATCATCTGAGGATCAATACTGTTTAGAATCCAAGTGATAATTTGAGCATCTTTAGTTTCCCACGCATCTAAAGCAGTTTTCTCCGTTGGTGCCTTAGAAACATCATCTAAGTGACTCCATAATCCCTTTCCTTTAACATACATCTTGAACTGAAATTCCCATGCCGAATAATTCTTGCCGGTAAAACGAACACAAAAATTATCTCTTTCTTTTTCGGAAGCCATCTAAATTATTAAACCACCAGATACAATCTCACTAATATTATTTTATTATTATTATAATAATAATAATAATAATAATAATAATAATAATAATAATAACTATAATATAATAACAGTAACTGTAATCACAGTTACTAGAGCAGCAACAAGAAACAATACCCACGAACCAACGAACAACAGCACGATCAAATCCACGATTTGGAAGGAGCGGCAAAACAGAAGATTATGACGATCCAGAATCACGAAGCAACAACAGCCAAGAACCAAAAAAAATTGATTGCAATATCAGCGCAACAACGAGAATCTCCAAGACGAAATCACGAACCGGCAATCAAAGATTTAGAATCTCAGACAGCTGCAAGGTTTCGATTTCAAACGAAAGAATTTCGAAACGAACACGATTACGAGAGCGAACCAGTGGGGTATCGCTGATCAGCCAATATAATAATATTTTCCAGGTTTGACCGAACCTACTGATACCATGTCACGAAATTTGGCTTGATGCCTTTCTCATTGCCTTTCATACTATATATAATAGTGTCCGTAATTACAACTCATAATAACTAATTATAGCTGATAATAGCTAATTACAATTCATAATGACTAATTTCCTATTCTATGAATGTAAATTATTCACAATAACTGCAAAGATTATTTCCTAATTAACAATTGCGTCTAATATAAGAATTTTGGGGATAAATTCCTCAAGTTATATTTTTTAAACTGTTGTCTTTTTTTAAGTGTATAAATTTCAATCTGAACCTTTTGAAAAGCAATGTTATGTCCTTGCTCACAGATAATCTTTCTGTTCTTCTTCCTACTTTTAGTTCAGTTATGTTTTATTCTTCTTCTTTTCTTAAGTTTCATCACTCTACTTTATTTTCATTTACTATTAACTACAACATCTCTTTAATTTAGTGTATTAGTCTATTTTTATTGAGTATTTATGTCTACTCTGTACTCTTGTTTTTAGTCTTTGCAATAGCGCTATCCCTCTACCCTCTATACCGCTATAGCATTTTAGAGGGGCAGTGCTAAACATTATCCGAGATTAACAACATAGCTATCATAATGTAATTCCTCTTGCTTCCTGACATGACACCCCTTCTCTTTACAGAGTTTTGTTGGCCATGGGGACTCCATAAATGAAATCAGGACTCAAACGTTGAGGCCATCACTTGTAATATCTGCCAGCAAAGTAAATGGCGCTTCTCTTTGTTATATTACTAACTAAAGAATCATTTATCTTTCCATTCTATAACCTCTAAAGTTGACCAGGATGAATCTGTTCGGTTATGGAATGTTCACACTGGAGTATGCATTTTGATATTTGCTGGAGCTGGTGGACACCGTAATGAAGTCTTGAGTGTTGTAAGTGTATTATGCATCTAATATATCGCGCCCTTCACTTGATAAATTACCAAATTGTGGTAATAATTGATGTTTTGGTAACTAGCCCAAGTAACTTCATATTTTTTACTGTAGGATTTTCATCCATCAGATATATTTAAGATTGCCAGTTGTGGCATGGATAATACTGTAAAAATATGGTCTATGAAGGGTAAGCCATTTAGTTTCAAGTTGGCTGCTATTATCTCATTGATTGCTTTTGTTTATTCTAATACTCCGTCCGTCTCACAATGAGTGATCCATTTGCAAAAAGAAAATGACCCACCCATTTCAATTTACAATGCAAATTATTATTTTTTCAATTCTACCCTTTAATCGTTGCTACTTTCACCACTCCCAGTACTTGATAATGGATCCTTTGGTAAAAACATCCTTCTCTTTCTCTTTCGTTTATTCACTTTGCTTAATATGTATGAAATGGTCAACTGAGTCACTCATTGTGGGACGGAGGGAGTATATCATATAATTGACCTTCATTGTATCTTCCATAATGTAATGGATGGTACCATATAGAAAAGATGAAAAGTATACCAGGAAAGGTCACCTAGTTTCCCCCAAAAATAATCATCACTGTTTATGTATGTCCTGTAAACACTAGTAATTTATTATCACATTCAGAAAATATAAATTTGTATAGTTCGCTCACTCTTACCACCAAGAGTCAATCTCAAAATTAGATTTAACTCTGAAGGGATGCATGTTTTAAACTGACAATAGTGGTAGTGTATCTACTAATGTATTCTTGTCTTTTTCACTGTAAACCATCTTTGCCTGTGTTATTTGCAGATTTCTGGAGCTATGTAGAGCAATCATTCACATGGACAGACATCCCTTCTAAGTTTCCTACAAAATATGTCCAGTTTCCTGTAAGATACAGTTTATTTTAATCACATATTGTGTGTTTATTTTTCTAATAGTATCTATTTTCAGGTATTCAATGCTTCAGTTCATTCAAATTACGTTGATTGTACTAGATGGTTGGGTGATTTTATCCTCTCAAAGGTGAGTGGTTGCTCATTCCAGTGTCAATCTACTTGCTGTTGGAGAGTTTGATTTTCTGTAGAGAAACAATGTTCCTAGCTGAACTTACATGATTCTTTCTCAATACTGTTTACGCACAATCTTTATGATACCAAATACAAACTGTAAAAGTAATCAAGGAAGTTGGACCACACTGGTTTAGTGTTTGGGCATGCTATGCTTCAAATGCTACACCTGAAATGCTACTCCTACCAATATGTTTGGTAAAATTTTGATATTACTAACTTTTAAAAAAAAAATTATTAGTTCAAAAATATAAAATAGAACAAATAAATAAAATTGAGAACTCGTGCAAATTTTATTACTGGGAGATTTTTTCATTTCAACCAAATCTTACATTCCTTGAAATGAATTTTGTAACCGGAAAGCAGGCACACATGTAAGGCTCATGAGTCAATGATTTGAATATTTTTTGATTTCAATAAGTTATTCAGTTCCTAAATTGATGGTTCACGTTATATTTCCAGAGTGTTGACAATGAAATTGTCTTGTGGGAACCTAAAGTGAAGGAACAAGCTCCGGGGGAGGTTAGTTAGAATTATCATCTGTTTCTTAGTTTTTTGATGTATGAAGTTTTCAGTTAGCTTCAGCCTGCCTTTTTTTGTGGGATGTTTAGGGCTCAGTCGACGTACTTCAGAAATACCCTGTTCCCGAGTGTGATATATGGTTCATCAAATTTTCTTGTGATTTCCATTACAATGCAGCTGCCATAGGTAAGAGTATCTAATTGCTATAATTTCATCTTTTCGATATACTTTTCTTCTCGTGCACAGTTTAACTAGTTGTTTATTGGGAAGGTTCTAATTTTGCTTTTGCCATGTTTTTAAAATCTGGATCTTCTGCCAGGCAACAGGGAAGGGAAAATTTTTGTTTGGGAATTGCAGTCAAGTCCTCCTGTTCTTATTGCAAAGTTTGTATTCTCTAATTTGTGTTCATGGATTTATATTTGATCAAATTTTTATGCTAATTCGTATTAGTATTCTCAAATTTGTGTTGATGGATTTATATTTTGGATCTTCAGGTTGTCACATGCTCAATCCAAATCTCCAATCAGGCAGACTGCCGTGTCCTTTGATGGAAGGTGATTTCTTCATAGGTTTGGTGAGGCATCTCATAAATTTTTGATGGAATAGTTTTTATGACTGTTGTTTTTCTTTTCTTATATTGTAGTACTATTTTAAGTTGCTGCGAGGATGGGACAATATGGCGCTGGGATGATTTTTTAAACTCCGAAGCCACTTAACTTATTTTCGTGCACCAGCGATCTAATGTGGACAATATGTAATAATCCAACATGAGGTACCCCTGGTTTATGGGTTGAACTGGTCATGAACATGAGAACCTGGTTTATTATTTTACAAAAACATGTTTTATTTGGATAGCTAAAATATAGTGTGGATGTATCACTTTCATGTCGATGCATTAATAATATATATTAGTGCAATTTGTTACCTGCAATGATTTAAAGAACTAAACCGACTCGATTAGATTGTGCATGTATTAACTCATGTGCAAAATTAGTAGTTTGGTGAAATACCAATGACTTTAATTTAATTTAAGTTGTAACTCTACCAGAAAGAACAAACCTTTTATTATTTCTTGACTTATAAATATCAATAAGTAATGCCATCATACAATACATCTCTGTTTATTTTTCCAAAGATCTAGAAAGCCTGCTTAATTGGTTATAAATGCATCTTAAAACAAATAAAACATTAATTTATTATTATTTGCATGTGTATCATTGTATATGCTTCTACTCCTTAAACAGTTTTGAAGCAGCACCTTTGTCCAAGTACCATTTCAATTCCCCTTCATTAGGTGAAACCATTTCAACAGGCAACTTAACAGTTTGTGCATCATCCTCAAGTGCAGTGTAAACTGCAGTTGATTTACCCGCGCCGGTAACAACCAGTGCTACATTGGAAGAAGCATTGATCACTGGAAATGTGAAAGTGATTCTCTTAGATGGTTGTTTTGGCGAGTCAGTGAGGAAAGAAACCCACTTCTCATCCTCATTGAGAAGAGAATGACCTGGGAATAAAGATGCAACATGTCCATCTGGACCCATACCTAGGAGCATGAGATCAAATTTTGGTAACCCATTAGTTGATGTGGCTATCACATTGTTAGTAACCAAGCGTCTTAGGGTTGTCTCATAAGCATCTGCCACTCCATCAGGTGGTAGGGAATCCTCAATAGAGTAAACATTGAGACGGGGAATTTGCACCTACCAAAATAATAATGAAAATGTGATTAGAATAAGAGACCTCATTCAACTTAGCACCTATAATATTGTAAAATACTTAGCACATGAATTAACTACCTTGGAGAGAAATCCATCATTGGCAAGCTTATAATTACTATCTAAGTCATCCTTTGGGACAACCCTCTCGTCAACCCAAAAAACATGCCATTTTGACCAATCTATAGTTTCAGCATAGGGAGAATCAACCAATTTCCTGAAATCAATACATACAATTGCTTGATTAATTTGCCTATATTCAAGATTAGAGAGACAAGTTTTACATTGATAATACTCACCTAAGGTACTTGATCGAAGATCCACCAGACAAAGCAACAGTGAAAGCACCTCTTTCTTTGGTAAACTTGGTTGAAAGTTGAGCAACATCATAAGCCAAGGACACAGCAAGATGTTCCTTACTGAAAATCTCAACATTCTTATAACCCTTTTCCCACTTAAGTGATGCTTCTATTTTCCTCACACATCTATTAGGTGAAAAAACTTTATTATTCCTTAGAGGTTGATAAACAATTTTGTTCCCAACTTGGGTTGGTAAAATTGATGTCCTTAGTGATAGTGGATTTGGTTTTTGTGCACAAAATAAACTACTTTGGAGAGTGCATGAATTAGACAAAGCTGTTGAGAATGACATTTTTGGTATTTTATAATGATTTGAATATACTATGCAAGTTTTATTTGCTTGTTTGTCATGCTATTTATATGTTACATGCTATATTCTTTTTCCATATTAGAAGTAAAGCAAATACTGAATAGTATGGAATCTTTTGTTACTACACGCCAAGAATCAAACACAAGGAAAACTAACATAGGAAACAACTTTAAAGAGACACATAATATCATGTTTTAAATGGACACACATAGATGCTTTTGTTATTAAATTATTTTGGGGTTATATATATATATATATATATTTCTTGTCTATTAATTAATTAACTTTAGATCATTTCTTCAAACTTTTTTTCTTTAAGTATCGTCTCTTAAAATTTTTGGTCATCCTTTTCAAATTTAATTAGTGTCATCTGGCTCGCGACATTATTGTTCAACAAAGTATCATTAATTCATTATCATAATAAGTTAATTTTTAATTTATTCTTTTACTTGGAAAAGTGAGCTAAGAAAGCAAAGGACATATAGAATACCGACAAAAATGAAAAGCAATAGAGACAGTCCTTTTGTAAATGACAAGGAAGGATCAAATAAAGCGCAGAACTAATATTAAACATAACATTTTAGAAAAGTATTATGCAAAACGTTAGAATATTTTAACTTAATTTTGTGTGGGTTAAGTTACTCGTTTATTTTGGGTTACTTTATTTTCCTCGCTAAGTAAGGGTGAATACATTAAAAACTCGATTATATTTTTTTTTTTATATTATAAAAGTGTATCTTTAAACGTATCAAATACACAAAAAATATTGCAAGTAAGATATGTCTTATTTATGACAAAAATTAATCTGAAAATGTATTTTCGAAATAATACGAAGATCTTTCAAAGATATATGGAATCTTGGGACATATGAAACTTTTTATGGTGGTGAACTAGCATCCCATATAATGGATAAAATAACCCTCTTTATTTTAAACCTATTTATACTATTGTTTTGGGTCGATCAAAAAACACAATAAAACTACTCAAAGTTAGAGCTCAATTCAAATTCAATTCCACGTCCATTCAAGTTATTGAACAAGTGCACTCTCATGAAATAGTCATGCGGCGAAGAAAGACACCACTCCATCTCAATTATTAAATACATCCAACGAATCCTCATACGAGATGTCATAACGATTTTAACCGTGTTTATATATATATATATATATATATATATATATATATATATATATATATATATATATATATATATATATATATATATATATATATATATATATATATATATAACCTATGAGAATGTTATTTTTACGTAAGAACATCAGAATGAATATGAACTATTAAATTTTAAAATAAGTGGTAAATATTATGGGTGGCAAAATGAATGGATTGGATGAATATGGATTAGATTGTTAATGGATGGATCAAAACAATCCATTAATCTATTAACAACCCACTAAACTCTCTTAATAAAAATCCAATCCAATCCATCAATTAAAAGATAAAATCCATCTAATCCATCCATTAACATATTTCTAATGGATGGATATCCATCCATCCAAAAAATTAATTTAAAAAATCTTAATTACTTTTACATTTCATAGAAACATAATTTAAATATTTTGAATTATTTTTTAAATTTCATAAAAAAACTTAAATTTCACAAAAAAAAAAATTAATATTCTTAATTATTTCAAAAAAAACATAATTTAATAAGTGATAACATAATATCCAATGAATTTATAAAATGAGATGAATGGATTGAATCCATCCATATGAGTTAGTGGATGGATTGGATAAAATCCATTAAATTATTTTTTGTCTTATGGATGAATTGGATGGATAAATTATTGGATGAATTGGATGAATATTATCTAAATGGATTTCATTGCCACCTATAGTAAATATTATGTGTGGTTTTTTTCTCTCCTTCATTATTAAAATAAATGATGGAGGAGAGAGAGAAAATGACACATAATCTCCACCATTTATTTTAAAATGTAATGGTTCAAATTCATTCTCATGTTCTCACACAAAAATAACATTCTCATATGATATGTCATACACACACGGGGGCGCGCGCGCGCACACACACACACACACACACAAACACACACAAACACACACACACACACACACACACACACACACACACACACACACACACACACACACACACACACACACACACACACACACACACACACACACACACACACACACACACACACACACACACACACACACACACACACACACACACACACACACACACACACACACACACACACACACACACACACACACACACACACACACACACACACACACACACACACACACACACACACACACACACACACACACACACACACACACACACACACACACACACACACACACACACACACACACACACACACACACACACACACACACACACACACACACACACACACACACACACACACACACACACACACACACACACACACACACACACACACACACACACACACACACACACACACACACACACACACACACACACACACACACACACACACACACACACACACACACACACACACACACACACACACACACACACACACACACACACACACACACACACACACATATATATATATATATATATATATATATATATATATATATATATATATATATATATATATATATATATATATATATATATATATGTGTGTGTGTGTGTGTGTGTGTGTGTGTATAATTTTGTTCACAAGAAATGTATGATTCATTACATACTTGCAAATTTCACCTCTTTAACTTTGTTGACTTGGACATTGGAGTGCTAACCTTGTAGGTACACCCTCCGTCGGGCATCGAAGACTTTCACCATCATGCCGAATACCTTCTATCGAGGACTTCATCGGTTTTCAACTTATTTTTTGTTATGTTCTGAAATAGTGGCATCGTCTATGAGAATTGCCTATTGATTATCGCGAAACTCTACCATAGATTTCTCTGATTCATTCCATTGTATCATCCAACCGTTTATGTTATCCGAAACTATCATCGTTAACTTTTATAACTATTAGTAATGGTAGCTTCCAAAGCGACTCGATCCACAATTCACCGCAACACCGTCCCTACATTGTATGTTTGATCATTCTTCCCCCCGTTGTACGTGTTCTCACCCTTAAGCTTGAGGATCCACTTCATTCACCAGAAAAAGCTCCTATTTTGGTGACTTATAGTTGCTACATTTCACCACCAAACGTTTCAGATCTCATCGCTCGTTCGACTGTTTCAACAACAATCACAAGCTCACACATAAAGCAACCTCATTGGTGAAATCATAATCCTAAGAGCCAAATGTATATATAATGTGTAACCTGTTAGCCGATAGAGTTCGATATAGAAGGGGGGGGGGGGGGGGGGGGTTGAGTAGATCACAAATTAAAAATTAAACTTTTGGCAAAACTTGTTTCCAAAAGTTTTATGGCACAACATAAACAACTCGAATTGAATCGTCTAACCAAACCTACAATCGAAAAGCTTGGATATGCGTAACATAAATTAATTGGATGATAATCATCACAAATTGTTCAACAACGATTAATCAAAAACCAATTAAATGCTAAGCTATACGTAGAGCTTATTTCTAATGATCAAAAATTAATTAAAAGCAATATACACAATTTATAGAATACCTTGAGTGCAAACAATAACATTTGGAAACTTAATTTGATTTGTTGATGTCAAAACCAATCACAATAAAAGTGATTATGATTATATCTACAAATTGTAATTCAAAATGTAATCAAAAATTGATTTCTAAACGAATTGATCTAAACAACAAAGATTCGATAATTCACAAATGCAACAATAATAAATATATATATATATATATATATATATATATATATATATATATATATATATATATATATATATATATATATATATATATATATATATATATATATATATATATATATATATATATATATATATATATATATATATATATATATATATATATATATATATATATATATATATATATATATATATATATATATATATATATATATATATATATATATATATATATAGAGAGAGAGAGAGAGAGAGAGAGAGAGAGAGAGAGAGGGAGAGAGAAAGATTTGTTTATGCAATTCCCCAATCGACCTCGCTATAGGTAAGTCTTCCTTTAATTCAAAGTCGAATTGAGATAGTTGCAATTAACCTTACTTTACAAATAATGTATATACAAGAGATGAAAAACTCTAACTCTACAACCCGTATGATTTTTTGTTTATTATACCATCTCCAAAACCCTTGATCAAAGATTGATCAAGTAACCAATGTTGCTACAATCCACCAATTCTTGTTACTAACTTGCATGACCTCTTTGTCTTCAAGGTTTTCGCTCGGTCGGATTAATCCTTAACACACACTTTTTGAAACCAAGATTCACAAACACAATCCACTGTTTCATGCTACTCCGTTGCAAGGTACCACCTACCTTATCCCAAGACTTTCACTCGATCGAATCTGTATTTGTGTGATCTTGTCGGAAACCTTCAAATCTTTAATGATCTTGAAGGAAAACCCTAACTTGGTTTTCTTATTTGAAACAAGCAAAGAACCCAACTCAATATTCTTGATTACACAAACCTAATTGAACATTATCAACCCTAATATAGATGGTCACCCAATCAAAAAATGATTATGTGTAATTTGACTGTGTGTATGCATAGAAGAGAGGTTCAAAATGATGAATTTACTTTGTAATTTTGGTTTCATTTAGGTTTTACACTAGTACCTTACTAGAATGAGGTGCATGCATGAGAATATGTATATGTGGTATGGAACAAAGGGCATTCATGAAGAAATGAAAGGAAAAATAAAATTTCAAAAATTGAACATTATAGGTCGACCTATGAATGAGATATGTCGACTTGTAAAGGTCTTAGGTCGGTCTATTTGAGGCGACCTGTTGGGCAGAAGCTACAACCTTTATTATTGAG